TAAAGGAAAGGAAAGAAAAAGGCAAACGTAAAAAGGAAAGATTTACCCAACTGAATGCAGGTTTCCAGGGAACAGCAAGGGGAGATGAAGAGATCTTCCTGAATAAACAATGCAAAATAATGGAGGAAAATAATAGAACGTAAAGGACTAGAGATCTCTTCAAGACAATTGGAGAACTCAAAGGTATGTTCCATGCAAAGTTGACCATAATAAAGGACAAAAATGGTAGGGACCTAACAGAAGCAGAAGAGATTAGGAAGAGATGGCAAGTATACACAGAAGAACTATACAAGAAAAACTTCAATGTCCTTGACAACGATGACAGTGTGATCACTGACCTCGAGCCAGACATCCCGGAGTGTGAAGTCAAATGGGCCTTAGAAAGCATTACTAACAACAAAGCTAGCGGAGGTGATGGTATCCCAGCTGGCCTATTCAAAGTCTTAAAAGGTGATGCTGTTAAAGTGCTACACTCAATATACCAGCAAATTTGGAAATGCAACAGTGGCCACAGAATTGGAAAAAGTCAGTTTACATTCCAATCCCAAATAAGAGCACTGCTAAGGAATGTTCAGACTATCACACAGTTGCACTCATTTCACACGCTAGCAAGGTCATACTCAAGATCCTACAAGCTAGGCTTCAGCAGTATGTGGATAGCCTTTGATTGTGTGGATAAGAACAAATTATGACAAGTTCTTAAAGAGATGGGAGTACCAGACCACCTCACATGTCTCCTGAGAAACCTGTATAAGGGTCAAGAAGTGACAGAACCGGATATGGAACAACTGATTGGTTTAGCATAGGAAAAGGAGTACAATAAGGATATATATTGTCACCCTGCTTATTTACATCATGAGAAATGCCAGCCTGGACAAATCAAAAGGCGGAATTAAGATTGCCAAGAAAAACATTAACAACCTCAGATATGCAGACAATACCACTCTAATGGCAGAAAGTGAAGAGGACCTCAAGAGCATCTTGCTGAGGGTCAAAGACGAGAGCACAAAACTTGGCTTGAAACTCAACGTCAAAAAAACTAAGATCATGGCATCCGGCCCCATTACTCCTTGGCAAATAGAAGGGGAAGTCATAGAAGCAGTGACCGACTTCACGTTCCTGGGATCCAAGATCACTGCAGATGGTGACTGCAGCCATAAAATTAAAAGATTCCTGCTCCTTGGAAGGAAAGCAATGGCAAACCTAGACAGCATAATAAAAAGTAGAGACATCACCCTGCCAACAAAAGTCCGCATGGTCAAAGCAATGGTATTCCCAGTAGTCATGTATGGCTGTGAGAGAAGGAAGGCTGAGCGCCAAAGAATAGATTCTTTTGAATTATGGTGCTGGAAAAGACTCTTGAGAGTCCCTTGGACTGCAAGGAGATCAGATCACTTAATCCTAAAAGAAATCAACCCTGACTGTTCCCTGGAAGGCCAGATACTGAAGCTGAAGCTCAAATACTTTGGCCACCAAATGAGAAAGGAGCACTCACTGGAGAAGACCCTGATGCTGGGAAAGATTGAAGGTCAAAGAAGAAGGAGACGGCAAAGGATGAGATGGTTAGACAGTGTTATAGAGACAACAAACATTTATTTAAGCAAACTCTGGAGGACAATGGAAGACAGGAGGGCCTGGCGTGATGTGGTCCATGGGATCATGAAGAGTTGGAATCGACTGTGCAACTGAACAACAACAACAAAGGTAGGGCAGGGGAAAGACACTGCCGCAAGAGTG